GAGGGAGGGGAGGGAGGGAGGAACATTGATGTGAGAGAGACACATTGATTGGCTGCCTCCCCCATGTACCCGGACTGGGACTGGGGATTAAGCCTGCAACCAAGGTACATGGTCTTGGCCAGGATTGAACCCGGGACCTTTCAGTTCACGCGCCAATGCTCTAACCACTGAGCCAAACAGGCCAGGGCCTGATGTTAGTTCTTTCAGAAAGAAGAAAACAGAAGACAGTGCACCACAGGGGAAGCTCTGGGGACACCCCCCCAAATGAAACTCCCTGGAGACGCTTCACTGTGGGCTTGCCCTGTAGGGGATGCCGAGTGTGCATCTGTCTAGACAGCGGGCCACCTCCTCCACCATCGGGGCTGCTGGGAGGAAGGTGAGTCACTGTTTAGTCACCAGGCCCTGCGGGGCCGGGCGGCCCGTGACAGGGTGTGCGGGGTGGTGTGTGCAGGGCCTTCCTGAAGAGGACTCACTCCTTCGCCACCTCACTCCTTCCAGCACTGGGCGGGAGGACAGCCTGCAAGGAGTGGTTCTAGCGGGCTCGGAGCCACCAGCGCTTGCCAAAGGGAGCGGGAGGCAGAGCAAGGAAGAGCCAGGACAGGGAGTTATCTGTGATGAGAAGGGAGAGATCTGGAGCCATTAGTGCCTGGCACAGGGGCCGGGCAGCAACCAAAAACCAGGTGCACATGACTGGCCGGTGAGCCATGACCTTGCTCTCAGAGATGGCTCAGAAGTCAGGCCTCGGCTCTCCCTGGAGACCAGGTGGGGGAGACTGTTCCCTGTAGGGCCCAAACCTGGATGTGGACCAGGTGGCCTGGCCCTAACTGTGGTCTAGGTGCCTCCCCATCTCCCTGGGGGCCCCAGGGCCACCAAAAAGAATACCTGGATGGGGTCCAAAGGCTGGGGCTGCTTGAAGGCAGGGCAATGCTGCCTCCTTCCCTCCCCTCTCCCCGCTGCTGGGCCCCAGGAGGAAACATACCAGCTTCTTTAATAAAATGAGACCCAGTTCCTCCAGGTGGGTGGTGAAAGTCCTCATGAGGTGACGGGCCCCCAAAAGGATGGGCCCAGGGCCTGTGGCCCCACTTAGCAGCCTGCAAGACGCAGTGCAGAGGATCTCCCAGGGCCTCCTTATGTCTGTCATGAACTCGACTAACAGGCTCGGCAGAGCAGGGGGAGGAAGGAGGGGGTCTACTCAGGCCAGAGGGGGGTGGGGCCAGGGCAGGCTAGTCTGAGGGAGGCCAGGAGTGGAGGGTGTGGCTTCCATCCCACAGGGAGACTTTGCTGCCGCTGCTCTGTGAGGCCGAGGGGTGAAAGCATGAAGGGAGCAGGCGGGTTCCTAAGGGTCCTTGGGGCTAAAATGAGAGGCCGACGGTGGGCCTGGGGATGGGCAGCCGGGGGGGGCCCCAAGTCCCTTTTCTGTTCCTGGGGCTGCGGGAAGGGTGAGGCCACCCAGGACCAGAGGGGCTGAACAGGCCCAGGTCAGAACAGGCAGAAACGGGCTGAGGACGGGAGTCCTTCCCACCTGCCTGTCTGGGGTCAGCTCCGTTCTGCCAGGGACAATAACAAGGCCGAAGGTGAGGGATTCTGTGAGGAACAGGTGGGAAGACATGAAGCAGAGCCAGGCCCCAAGTGCCATCAGAATGGGAGCAACGGGGAAAGGGCCCGGGAGGCGCCCAGGGAGAGGCTCTGTTTCCTTGATGTGGTTGGTGGTAACACAGGTCTTCGCCCTTCGTGACTTTCTATACAATATTCACTCTTCGACTATTTGTTGTAACCGATATTTATGTTTTACGCATTTTTGTGTACATTGGATGTGCGCGGTGGGGAAGAGAAAGTGAAGAGAAGCGCAGAAGGCACGGCTGGTGTTTACTGGAAGGAAGACACGGGAGGATGCCTGGGGCATCTTGTGGCTGAGTCAGCCGAGCTCCGGGCCGCCCACGGGCAGCCGGGGCCCAGAGGAGCAGGTAGATTTCAAAACAATTGGCACAAGGAGCCCCCAGGTGGAGGGCAGGGGAGTGAGCGAGGCAAAGGAGGGTGGGCCAGCTCTTAAAAGGCATGTCAAAGATGGTCAATCCATACACAGAATCTCACTCAGCATCAGAAAGGAAGACATCCTGACACAGGCTACAACGTAGATGAACCCAGAAGACATCACACTGAGTGAAATAAGCCAGTCACAAAGGACAAACCCCGTGTGATCCCACTACCAGGAGGCCCCAGAGCAGTCAGACACTGTGACAGAGTAAGGTGGGGGTCGTGCCAGGGGTGGGGGAGGAGCCAGGGGGTTAGTGTTTAATGGGGACAGAGTTTCAGTTTTGCAAGATGAGAAAGTTCTGAAGACGACGGTGGTGATGGACGCACAATGGGAGTGTGCGTAACGCCACTGACTGCACACTCAGAAATGGTCAGGTGGCAAATTTCATGTTATGTGTATTTTACTATAATTAAAAAATGTTTTAAGCTCCTGGTTGTTTGGAAGGGTGAACATGACAACCGTGTTTCTGAGTGGGGTCAGCGAGGTGGGCGGGAGGTGCTGCTGGAGCCTGAGGGGCTTTCCTGGATAGGGGGCAAGGGCACACCCCCAGCCCTGTGCCTCCCCGGGGAGCAGGCTGGCACCCACAGGGTCCTTAGGAATGGGAATGGCCCCACACTCACCTCTGCACTGTCTGGGAGGCCACCAGGAAGGACATGAGGTCTCCCCCGGTCAGTTGCTGTCCAGCCACGAGGGAGCCCCCAATAAACAGGGTGCCCAAGACCATGCCTGCATGGGGAATGGGATAGGTGGTCAGGAAGGAAGCAGCTGGAAGCAGAGGACAGAGCCTGGCCCAGGGGGTAGTCCCTGGCTCATCCTTGCTGTGCCTCTACTGACTGGAATTTCGGTGAGTCACCAGAATGGTCTGTTTGTTTCCTCCTTTGGAAGCAGGTAGTGGGAGGAGGGGCCATGTCCACAGCTTCCTCCTGGGCAAGCTACACATAGCTGGGCTGTGACATCAGCCCACCTGCCCACTGCGTTGCCAGCTTGGGCTCCTGGCTCTGAAGGACACCAGGCAGGTGAGAGCTGCTGCGGGGCCCTGTCCTCTGCCCCTCCAGCCCCGCCCCCCAGGCGAGGCCGCTGCTCACTCACAGTTGAAGGCGATGTTAGAGAGCCCCTGGAACAGGGCGATGCCTCTGCCCAGCGCCTCTGCCTTAGAGCGGGACTCCTCCAGCTCTGCTCCGTAGCGTCTGGGGACAGAGGCCAAGCCCAGTCCTCAGGAAGCAGCCGGGCGGGGTGCAGGGCATGGGAGTGTGTCTGGGGAGCCCCTCTGCTCTGGGTTCCACCCCTGCCCAGGACTCACTCCTCTTCCCGCTGCTCCATGGCAAAGGCTCGCACAGTCCGAACGTTACCCAGGGCCTCATCAGCTACACCCGTTGCCCTGGCTATCTGCAAGGAGTCCGGGAGACGGGGTCAGGTTGGTGATGGGGAGGAGTGACAGGGCAGAGAGAAAGGGGAGGGTGAGGAGGGTGGGCGGGAATTCTGGTACCTGCTCCTGACATTGGCGAGACAATTTTCGGAGGGCTGAGCCCATCAAGGTGCCAACTCCCATCAGGGCGGGCATGGCCACCATCATTAGCAGCGTGAGGCGTGTGGACAGCATGGACAGGGACACCAAGCAGCCAACCACTTGGGTGCAGCTTCGCAGCCCCTGGGTAGAGGGAGGGAGGGAGGCAGGCAGGCAGTTTGGCGCCGCACCACGACCGGTGGCTGTTATCAAGGGTCTGCTAGCTATTGCTCTACGCCCACAAGGCCAAGGCTACAGGTCTGACTTTTGGGGGCCGACTGGCGGTCTGCTGGTCACAGAACATAACCCTTTCTTGGCCAGCAGGCACGAAGGGGCCGGGTGAGAGTGTGTGTGGACATGACACCCTTCTCCTGACAGATCCTGGTTTGCTTCTCTTTCTGCTCTAGAAACTGAGCAAAACTGTGGATGTCGTGGGCCAGTGTCTGCTGTGACCCTGGTGCCGATGAGGCGGACGAGGGGAGGACATCGGTAATACAGTAAAAGCCACCGCTCCTTTTCTCAACACTGTCAGCGTGCCAGGCCCTGGGGGCAAGGCAGGCCAGGGCGATTCCGCTCTTGGCAAGCTGGGCAGGAAAGGCTGTTGTCTGAGTCCTTGAGAAGGTTTTCGGGGGAGGTAGGATTTCAGAAGAGGAGAGAAACAGCTCATCCTGACCTTGGACAATGCCACGGCACCTCCCTTCTGTGAACTTCTCCAGCCCTTCACCCACACCCACACCCTCACCAGGGTGGGGCCCAATGGGCCGGGCGGGGCTAGCCCAGTTCGCCTGAACTGGGGAGCGTGCGCGCGTGGGTGAGTGGGTGGGGAAACCTGGGGCGCTGACCTGGGAGATGACAAGTTTGAAGGATGATTTAAACTCCTGCACGTCAGTTGTCAATCGGTTCACCAGCTGCCCTGTCTTTTTAGCATCAAAGAAAGCAATGTCTTGTCTGGAGGTGGGACACGGGCAACAGGCGGGAGAAAGAGGGAGACGTTATCGGGATGAGGTCCCACCTCCAGATATTCCCTAGGACCCCAATGGGGCCCATCGGTGACCCCACCCGCAGTCTGCACCCTGCAGCTGGCAGTACCGGAGCAGGTTGCTGAAGAGGGCCCTCCGCATGTCCACGGCCATGCGCTCGCCGATGCGGGACAGGAGCACCAGGTATCCGAAGGTTAGCAGTCCCTGGGAGAGAGGCGGGGGGCACTCAGGGGAGCCCGGGTGGCTCCTGTCTGCCCCGGGGCCCTCCCCTCCTGCCATACCTGGAGGCCATAGAGGATGAGCAGGTGGGTGCCGAGATTCCGGGACTCATGCAGGAAGTTGCCCATGTGGTCCCTTGTGTACTTGGCCACGATCTCCACCAGCCGGCCCAGGAGCAGGGGGATCTGCACATTCACCAGTGCCGCGCCCAGTGCCAGCTGCAGGGTCACAGACATCGAGAGGGGGCCATACTCGCCTCCACCCCCCGCCCTAACCCTGGTCCTCCTCTCCTGCCACTGTCCATGCTTCGGCTGCTCCTGCGCCTGAGGGTCAAAGCTCAGGTTGCCAGGCCCTGGGGACCCTTACACCCTGCACACCCAGCCTCCTGCGCAGGCTGTTGGTATCCCTCGGCCTCCGTCCTCGAGCCAGTCCTGGCTGCTCCCTAAGGTCTTCTCCCTAAGACTCCATGAGGCAGGCAAGCGGTCCCCAAGCAGCTCTGGCTGGGGCTTCTGCAAACCGCTGGCTGAGTCTTTCCCTATCCCTGCTTTCAAGGGTGCGGGGGAAGATCTCACCACAATGGCTGTCCCCAGGATCAGCAGGTGGGGGCGCAGAAACTGCCAGAAGAGCTTCCAGTTAAAGCGGGACTCCACGTCATGGGGTCTGGGGCGGGCAGGAGGGGCCTCTTCTGCCTCACACAGCGCCACAAGGCAGAGGCGGGGGCACTTACTCAGCACCACGGGGCCCAGGAGGGCTCCGCCAACCCAGCGCCAGGCAAAGGGGCTGCGGTCAGGACCTGGGGGCGCTCGAGGAAGGCGAGCCCGGAGCTGGGACCGCAGCTGGGCTACGGCCCTGAGGAGGTAGGAGCTGGGGTGGCCATCAGAGTGCCTGTAGGGAGAGAATTGCACTGAGGGCTTGAGGCCCCAACTGTCCTTCAGCTGAACATGAACCAGCCGGGCCCTGGGCTGAGCCCTCTGGCGGGCAGCACTGCCCTCTGCCAGGCCCTCTACTGCCTCTCAGGCTGCTCTCAAGTGCCCTGTTTCTGAGACACACACAGGCAAAGTAGCTGAGGAATGAGACGGGTGCATGTAATGAAGTCTTACAGGTGTTCTCCCTCAAGCGGTCACTCAGGCAGCCAGGCCCTATGTGCCTCCGGAGGTACCTCTGGGCTAGTGACCGGCTCCAACCCACACGCTGGCAGATCCCTGGACCACAGAGCAGGAGGGCACCCTGCATGGCAGCTAGTCCACTGTACTGCCTTCCGGTGAAGGACACAGAAGTCTGAGTGCACAGGGCTCAGGGAAGAGGGGGAGAGCACCCAGCCTGGTGGTCATAGCCCCACCTCAAAGTGTTAACCGTCTGGAACAAGCAGGAGGGGCCTCTTCTGCCTCACACAGCGCCACAAGGCAGAGCAAGGGCACTTACTCAGCACCACGGGGCCCAGGAGGGCTCCGCCAACCCAGCACCAGGCACAGGGGCTGCGGGCAGGACGTGGGGACGCTTGAGGAAGGTGAGCCTGGAGCTTGGACCGCAGCTGGGCTCCAGACACGGCACAGCAGAACAAGCCTAGATTCTGCAATCACCCGTCAGGGTTCCGCTCTAGTCCCAGGTCTGCTGCCTGGGGACAAATTATTAGCTCTCTCAGCCCCACATGATTTTGCTGTCTATCAAGTGAGCATAACGGCAGACCGTTAACACTGTGAGCCCCATCACCCTGGCTTCTCCCAGGCCTCCAGTGCTCATGTGACAATGTACGGAGGGAAAGGGTGACACACTCCCTCTCCACCAGCTGAAGGAAGAAAAAGAAAAATCCAAATAACGTATGTTGTCATCTTGGGTAGGCCAGGATCACCTCCTCTTTCCTGCAGTTCCCATATCTACAGATGGCAAATAGGGCTGTGTGCCTACTGTGCGCAGTGCTCTGCTGTGAGGCACTGAGAGCAGGAGCTGAACAGGAGAGACCAAGCAAATACCTCCTGGTGGTTACATTTTACTGGTGGGTAACAAACAGCTCATGGCAAAGCTTGCAGAGTGGGGAGAGGGGAACCACAGGGCACTTGGCGAGTACAGAGCAGGGGCTCCTCCTCCTGTCGGGGGGGAGGCAGGAAAGGCAGCAGGGGGTAGTCAGCACAGTCTTTATAAAACGGCTGGACTTGGGGGGCAATGAGGACCATTTCTGGTTTTTAAGTCGGAGTGTGACATAATCAGATATGTATTTTAAAGATCATAGCACAGAGGCCTGTTAGGAGCAGAAGTCATCTTGCCAAGAGTATACGTACAATGGGATGTGCAAAAATCTGAATAATCAATGAGATTATTGATGGGGAAAGGCAACGAGGGAGAGGTTTTTCCTTTACTGTGATAGTGTATATTCCCAGGCCCTCCTAACTGCAGACTTCACCTTAACCTTCCCTTCTGTCAGAGAGGCCCAAGCTTCTTGCCACCTCTAAATTATGCCTCCACCTACCCCTTTCCACCTGCCTGGGTTTTATGTCTTGCTTTTCACTGCGTACTTTATGTCTGTCCTAAGTTTTAAATAGGGAAGCTCACTCTCCTCCTGCCCTGTGTAGCTGTCCAACTTCTCCATTAGACTGTCTGTTCCTTGAGAGCAGGAAACTCCAGCTTATTCCCCATTGTATCCTCAGCACTTAGCAGCTCTCTGGAATATAACAGATGTTTAAAAAAATGTTTGCTTGTTGAGTGCACACCCTCATTAGAAATGCAGAAGAACCTGACCTAACTCACCACTGCAGTGTTTGCAAAGTTTCAGATTTACTGAGGCCAACAGTAAAAAATACATTTTACATTGTAACCCAGTACAACCAACTTATGTGTATGTCACACAAAGTTGAAATGCTTCACAAAATGATACTTTCTCTATTTTAAATATGTACTCTATTTTCTATTATAAAAAATGTTTTTTACTGATTTCAGAGAGAAGAAGGAAGAGGGCGAGAGAGACAGAAACATTGATGAGAAAGGATCATTGATCTGCTGCCTCCTGCACGCCCCCTACTGGGGATCCAGCCCTCAACCGAGGCATGTGCGGTGACCCGGAATCAAACCATGCCCTCCTGGTTCACCCTTCGACACTCAACCACTGAGTCACACCGGCCTCTGTTTTCTATTATACTCACTTTTAAATGGTCCTAACCCACTAAGTTCATTTTATGATCTAGTGTGTTGTGACTTCAACATTTGTTAAACATTGTACAAATACTTGAATATTACTGGGTCTCTTTCCTTTGGCCTCTCTTGGCTTAAATAATATTAACACCCTTACTCTTCTCCTGAGGATTGTTCAAACCTTTTAATAATTAACCACGGACACTTTCCGGCTTTTCTCATCTTCTCCAAGCTGAGGCTCTAGGCAGGGCTTTGGTCACTGCCAAGAACTGGCAGATCACTTCCCAGCACCGGTACTTCTGGGTCCAGCTCCGCCCAGCTCCTGCCCTGTGTCAATCAGGTGGACTTTCAACAACCCAAGTCCACCCTGCGAATCTGGTGCCTGCCTGGCCCTCGGGTTATTCACTCCGGGATCACAAGGGAGTCGGTACCTTCTCATAAGGCGTTTACACTGCAGTCTCGGTTCAGGGTCCTCTTCGTTCCCCATCCTCTCCCTTCCTCTCTTCTTAGACCCACGTGTGCAGAGTGAACACACAAAGAACACACACGGGCCCCTTACTAGATTGCCTCTCTCTGCTGAAAGGACCCCATCTAGGGAATCATTTTTGTTCAGCTCGTTTTCAACCTTGGGAGCACCACCAACACCGAACGTCTCCGGACAGGAAATAATTTTTTCCCCCCCACAAGGAAATAAAAATTTAATTCTACACATTTTACACGCCGCGATAAAATAGAAATGAGACGTGGGAAACCAAACAAGATCAGCAGTCCAAGGCTGGAGGTCACTATTTACCGCAGCCCAGGCTGCAGCTGCAGCTGTGTGGTCGGGGCAGGACCCTGGGTCTGACCCAGCTCCTGCCCCCGGTTCCCGCTGAGCCTGATGTCCATTCTGAACCTCAGAACTTGAGGCTGAAGCCAGGGCCTGCAGCAGAATAATTTTTATCCAAATCGCCAGATCAATTGCAAGAAAGAGGACAGGGCCAGGAGCGGAGACCAAAGGGCCAGCAACCTGTGCAGCTCGGCGCCCCCTGGTGGGGAGGCAGTATACACCCTGGGCGTGGTCGCCGACCCAGAGAGTCCCTCGGTCGGCCCACGCGCGAATCCAGATGCGCTGAGCCTCCTGCGGGCACCTGGCTCGTCGCAATGAATAATTGAGGCCAGTCCTCCGGGGAGTGACATTCCACCCCTGGCTGGGTCGGCCTACAACTCCCAGCAGGCCTCGCGCGAGCCCCGGACTCCATCTCCCGGCGGCCCCCGCGCCCGGCCAGCGGGTCAATGGCCCCGCGCTCCCAGTATGATTGTCAATTTTTTATTTATTTTTTTACCTGACGGCCAAGGATGTCTGGAAGCGGAGGGGGAGTAGAGGCCTGCCTGCGACAGTGCCTCCCCGAATCGCGACCCGAAATAAGTGCACCAACATGATGGGGCGGGAGAACAAGCGGCCGGCAACGGCAGTTTCACCCTTATCCCATTGAGGGCTCCATGTTGGTTCCTGCCCCCGTCCCGACAACCCCCTCGCGCCGCGGCGTCGATTGGAAGAGAGACGCAGCAATGTCGTTTCGAGCTGTGATTGGAGGGAATCCTGTGGGTTCTCCTCCCTCCGGAGCTGTGATTGGAGAGAGCCGCCTGCCCCGCCCCAGCAGTGGGCGGGGCCGAGGAGGCCGGGACCCTGCGTCCGGCGCGCTAGCAGACCCGGCTGCGGGTTGACGTTCTGGGCGTGCCTAGCGCGTTCCCGGCCCCGGGGTATCCATAGTAACGCGTCAGCCCCGGGCCTCCCCGCCGTTCCATCCCGGCTCCTGGGGGGCTCTACACGTCCCGGGGCTTCAGGGAGCGTAAGGCGCTGCTGGTTCTGGGGAGAGAAGGGACAAAATTCGGCTGGGGCGTTCTTTTTCAAAACATGCAACTACTAACTAAAAAAAACACTAAAAAAACCCCAAATGGACATGCCTTGCTCGCCGTGGCTCAGTGGTTGAGTGCCCACCCTTGAACCAGGAGGTCGCTGGCTTGATTCCCGGTCAGGGCACATGCCCGGGTGTGGGCTCGACCCCAGTAGGGGGCTGCAGGAGGCAGCCGATCAATGACTCTCGATGTTTCTATCTCTCTCTCCCTCTCCCTTCTCTCTGAAATCGATATAAACATTTTAAGCAAACACACAAAAAACAAACCAAAAAAAAACACCCCAAAACACAAATGCACGTGTTTTTCCACCCACCCTGCTCTCCCAGGCTGGTGGGCAGCCACTTATTATAATGGAGGAAAAGCTCCCCGGGTGATTCTGATACGCTCCCCCTATTCAATGATTGAGAACCATTGATATTCAGGTCTGGTAGCTTATCAAGGCACCGCCTCAGACGCATCTCCCCACGGATGTCTCCCTCACCGCAGGTCAGGCTGACCAAGGCTCCCACCGCAGCACAGCTCTTGGACCTCTCTATTCTGCGCTTCCTTTATTTGTTTGCATAGCCGCCTCCCCCACTGGCCAGGATTTCTTTTTTGGGTAGTGGCTCTGTCTCATTCTTCCGTTTCCCCCCATCCCCTTTGAGTGCCTGGCAGGAAAAAGTGCCCTTTATAATAAATTGACTTGAACTGGGGGGTGGTGGTGATGGTAGGGAGGCTGCAAATGGGGTGGAACTGGGTGAGAAAGTGTGCCAGGATTAGCACACAGGCAGGGTGTGTGGGAGGGGTCCTATAGTAAGTGTGGCAGAATATTGAGGTGAGTGAGGCTGAGGGGAGACCAGATGAAACCCCACATAACCAATCTGGACAGATGTCTCTGAGACTTCATGGGAAATTCCTAGCCCCTCTACAATGTGGGATTCCATTTTCGGCACTAGGGTGACATTTCTAGGAGGAGCGACTCTTGTTTCCATATCTCTGCCCCCTGATCAGAGATAAAACTATGCAAGTCCCGAGCTAGGATGACAGCTCTCCCAGGAAGGAGGCGTGGAAGGAGAAACGGGCCTATCTGGACCCCAATGTTGTGGGCAATTCTGTGATTGCCTCCATGTGCTTCCAGGGAACAATCTGGGAAGCACTCTGTTCCTCTCCATTTCATGGATACTGGCCCCTACGTCAGCCCTTGGCCTCACACCTGGCTGGCTGAGTCAGCATCTCAGGCATGGGAAACCTGGTGGGTGATTCAGGGCCTCAAGAATGGCGTTGGACAAGCCACCGGACCAGCTGCCCGGGCCTCCTCCCCCTCCTTGTTGACGTGGCCACGAGGAACTCAACTCAGTCAGTTCATCCCTCGGTACCCAAACTATCCTTCCAAATTCCTGACCCCCAGCTGCCCTCTGCCGGTTCAGTCCTGAGGCTTCTCAGGGGCCTCCAAAAACTGGATCAGGACTTGGGGGAAAGGGTTTCAGGGTTCGAGAGAATAAAGAAGTAAACATAATGGAACATCCAAGGAACTCCACTTTTCTACTGTAAGCTCCAAAAACCCGCCTCTCACGTCTGAGATCGCTGCTCTCCTTTCTGTCTTCCCTTCCTTCCTCTCAGTTTCCCCCAACCTGGACGCAAAGTTGGGCAGTCTCCCCTCTTGATTTACCATCTTGACCCCATAGTCCTATAATCCTGTGACGGGGTTTTCTTTTTGCTTTTGTTATTTTGGCTGCTACTCTCTGGACTCCCCTTCAAATCTACTTGAGGTCTGAAGACGGGGCAATAGGTGCCTCCTCTGGTCGGTTCTCAAGCTTCCGTCTGGCCCCCCCGATGCCCCTCCTGCATGGAGGCGGGGCCCTGACAGCGTAGGCTGCAGGTGGCCCTGGAAGGGGGTGTGAGTGCTTAGACAGGTGACTGGGAGCTGGGACGCCTGGGGCCTGCCCCAACTGAGTCACTGTGTTGTTGTTGCTGTCCTATCGAAGTTCCTGCTCAGCTCCTCAAACCTCGGTGGAAGCAAGAGCAGCTCACAGCCTTCCAAGCTTTCAGGAGAAGCCACCAACCCAATGGTGAGGCGAATGGGCTGGGGGGGGAGCAG